TAAGTTCGGCTTCTCTATTGACTCATCAGGAAAAACCCTGGATAACCATGATGGGCGGGTGATATGACGAGTGTACCGGCCTACATCATCGTGTCCGAATCGTAGACCAGTGATTAAGCAGAACTCCTTCCGCCCAAAACAAGTATACGCCGGTGGAAAATGAAACCATATCTCTTCCTCACCACGTTGTATACTGTCGGGTAGATCGCTAGTCATGGTCTGAAGCCACATATGGGTCAAATTAGCATCTTCACCCGGATGTTGTACTCTCAGCCATGGCCCGAAGCAGGTTTCCTCAAACAATTTTCTTTGTGCATGTGAAAGCTTCGAAGCAATTGTAGTGGCTAGGCTAACTTTATTCCTTAATGTCAATGAAGCCGAATTCTACAAAAACAATAAACATACCAAGTTAGATATACCAAAAACTACACTGTGAAGATATACCAAAAACAATAAACATAAATAGTAGTTTATTCTTGAAACTAAAATTTGCAACACTGTTTTATCTTTTGGTTGAAATGAAAATCGCAACGAGATAATGAAAATCGCAACGCGGAAATGACTATCGCAACGAGAGAATCGCAACGCGAAATGACTATCGCAACGAGAGAATCGCAACGCGAAATGAAAATCGCAACGAGAGAATCACAACGCGAAATGAAAATCGCAATGCGATTTTGGTTTCGCGTTGCGATTTTCATTTCGCGTTGCGATAGTCATTTCCGCGTTGCGATTTTCATTCTCGAAACTATTCTTCTTCTGCATTACTTCAACCAAAAGACAAAAAAAGACAAATACTAACTTCACAGTGTTAAATACTAAACAGTTTAGCAGTATTGGTAGCAATCGAATGAATTTAATAAGAAATCTAAGTGAAATGGTTAATCTATTATTGAAATTACCAGTAAACTTATCATCAATTTCAATATGAAAAACCTAAAATAATGCAAAATTTTCAAAATAAAAATAATTAAAAAACTAACCCTCGGAGGTTGATTTTCCATTTCTGAATGATTGTGAGGGATTTATGACCGTGAATGATTGTGAGGGATTTCGCCGGCGATGGGGAAGGAAATCTTCGGAGATGGGGACGAATTTCGCCGTAGAGAGTGAGAGATGGAGATGGGACTGAGTGTTGTGATTTTAGGTTTGAGGTTATGAGTTGCGATTACTGTGGACGGTTCAGTTTCCGATATATTAAGAAAAAATTCGTGTTTGGAATTTGAAAAAAAAAATACGCGTTAATACGAATGGCTCTATGTAAATCACATTGCGATAGTCAGATTCGCATTGCGATTTACTTATTTGCATTGCGATTTACTTATTCGCATTGCGATTTACTTATTCGCATTGAGAATTGTGAAAAACGCAACGCGAAATTGGAAAATCGCATTGCGATTGTCATAATCGCGTTGCGAATCTGGAAACTGATTTGCGATAATGGAGATCGCGTTGCGAATTAGCGATCGCATTGCGATTTTGTTGGTCATTTTGGCAAATCCGGAAAAAGTTGGTTAAAATCGTATATTATATGTGATTTTTGGTCACTGAGGTTATTTTCTCTTTTCTATATTGAGTTGTGACTTGCACTAGTTTTTATTTAGACCAACTGAAATTTTCAATTAGGATGTAGCTTGCAGTGTTTATTATTTGAGCTAGCTCGTAGGAATATGCCCTCATCCACCCTCAATGATCAGACCAGCCCTTCCTTTCCTTGAAACTTCTCGACTTCGGATTTCACACTGGCCAGAGCAACACCAGCTTCCTTTATCAAATCAACTATCTGGGAATCTTAAAGAAGGCCGATAACCAAATGATCAACTGCCAAATAGGTGTCACCATAGGCACGGCTGGATAACCTTAACAAGCTACGTACTTGAAGGGATTTCATATGGGGCAGGTGACTCTGATGGCAGCTTCTTCAAGGCCTGATTGAACACCTTCTTGGCGGCTTGCACGGCACGGCAGTTTCACCGCCGTCATTGGAAATTGACTAGGTGAAAATGCCAGTGGGATAGGTATGCTCGTGCTTGTGATATGGGCCGGACGCTTGAGTCAATGTAATAAAGAAAAGAGAGGAAAATATAAAATATGTAACATGTTGAATAAAAATCGTTAATAAGAGAATAATATAGATAAATAATAATGATAACAATAATAATCAAATATCATTATAAAATTAATGATAGAGAATGAATTTATCATATCTTAGGATTATTAAAAGTATAACAATCTGATACTATAATCACACCAAATTAAACTTCTTAAAAATAAAATAAATAGAAATAAAAAAAATACTCTTTTCTTAATTGATCGAAAACAATTGAGGTCTGTCGCTACACAGTTTCCTTAAGACATATTTTCGAGCACTCGTTTGGTGTTCGAGATCTTGGTGGTCTGTCTCCCAGGATACAACAACTAGATGATCAGCTACAGTAACACAACAGTAGAGATCACGAACTATCATTGCCTTCGACTATCACCGGAAAACTAAGAAGAGAAAATATTTTTCAAGAAAGTAAAAGATATTGAATTTTTAGATATAGAAAACTTGTTCTAAAAAATTGTGATTAACCTAGTTGGAGATTTTCAAGAGAGTAAATCTCCAAAAAGATATCTTTTAGTATTTAAATTTAAACATGTAATATTTTTTAATTTAAAAGATAAAGTCTCCTTTTATTATTTAAATTTAAATAGACATTATTTTAATTTAAAATATTCAAAAGGATATAAATATCTTTAATACAAAGTTAAACAAGTAACAAATACCTTTTAATTTGACATATTCAAAGAATAATTATCCTATTAATATTTAAATTAAAAATATCTTTTAATTTATAATATTTAAAAGAAACATATATTTGATTTTAATATTAAATCCATGAAATTCCCTCTTTTGAGATCCGCGTTTTGGTGAAATTATACATGGTTCTAAGGCTGCCCAAAGGCTTCTTGTCTCATAAAAAAATCAGGGACGGAAAGAGTAGACAAAAGGGGCTGTGGGTAATGAAAGTACCCAAAGCTGCTTCGTGGTCTTTCAAATTAAACCCCAAATAAAAGGTTATGATCTTTTATACTGTTTAGCATATTATTGCTTGTATAATTTCGAGATCAAAAGCTGTTTTTCACTGGTATAACAAATCAAACAAGTCGTACCTGAAACAACGTAAATGCAATGCTGGTTCAAAGTAGCAGCAAGCAAATATGCTGACCAGGTGATAAGTGTTAGAATTAGACCGGACCAGGATTCGATGGCCTTCCTAAGCAATTCAATATAGAATATGATACCCCGACTTTATAAAATAAATTACCTTGAGCAAGTTGTCTGAATACCACACCATCTAATAATTCATGCCAAGAGAACATATATCATACGTGTTTTATCACTTGGTGAAATCAATTCCTAGAGATAAAAATCACCTTATTCTCTTTGTTATCCCAGGCGTCAAAGCCTTTGATTTAGGAGCCGAAACCAAAGGGCCACGACATTTCGAACTCCCGTGCACCATCGTGTGAAATGATCTCAATCCTGCGGCTGAGCCTTGAGCCGAGGGTGACTCGGAAGCCCTCTTTGAATGCCAGAACAAATGCTTTTTCTAAACAACAAATCAGTAAAAGATATGAAAAATCCACATGTTTACATGCAGAGACAAGAAGGATAGGCAAAAGCAGATGTTTAAGTTACTAAGGAATCGAAGTAAAAGAAAATATTCTCAACCCAACCCAGTATCGGTGTTTAAGTCACTAATCAACATACGGACCAAGGAAAAATAATATAGAAGGCAATGCAAAAAGACACAAATTGTAACTCACCTCTGCAACAGAAAACTCACGAGGCCTCGATGCCAATGGCAAACTAGTACGATCAACTGGATCCAATGTGGGTGAGAAACTAGTGCAATCAAATGATAAGTGTCACATAAACATAGGTAATATATTATATAATAAAACGACATTATTGCACTTGATAATTTGTAATGACAGATATAACCAAATATGACCATGTCGGACAACTTGTATGGAAAGCATGACTAGAATGCCAAGAGCCATACCATTTTATATCATTCAAATCGGTGTCTTTGGGCTTCAAAGCAAAGCCTGCTTTTTTAAGCAGGTTCTGAATTTCACTAACAATTTCTAATCTAAATCTGGTATCGTCCTGCAATAATATTATGCTGGATGTGTAAAATCAAAATATGATACATTACATAACAATGAATGAAGCACATAAGAAACAGCTAATATTCTAAAAACTTAAAGCATCAATCTAACACCGGATACGTACATTATATGTGTCTGATTGAAGATATTGGTTAATAGAGTTGCCAGCCCTCTCAAACACTTCCAGCAGCAGGGGTACAGAACTTAATTTCCTTCTCATCCTTACATTTCTCAGCTAACTTTTGACTGTTGTTTCTACCCATTAATCTGACCTCCGCATCAAGCGATGCCTGGAGATCATTCATTATGCATCGTCGAATGACATTTGAATGTAAATCATTGCTTCCCAGAGAGGTGGTTGCGATCAACTTCTCTGGAGCCACCATTAGCAGTGAAGCCAGCTCGATGAGCTTTTTCTGCCTCGCCAAATTGCAACCAATGGCCTCGATGTCCTCAGTTTTGCATGCAACCAACCTGGTACTCTCCAAGGATTCTTTCTGATGATGGAAGTGAAAATGAAATGCACAGTTACTTAAAATAAAAACATTAAAGAGAGCAGAGCAGACTTGGGAAAACGAATGAAACAAACAAACCAGCTTCGGTAGGCATAATATACAAACTAGCTTGAAGATGGATTTTTTGGGAGTCCAATCTTTCAAATAAGAATGATAACTGCATGAAAAATACGAATGGTAACTTAAACGATAATGATAACAAGTACATTAACGGGAAGAGAAACCACAATTCAAGAGCATAGTAACATGAGAGAAATGCATGCAGCAATTGGAAACTGGCATTCATAATGTTAACAAATATCACAGGAATAAATTAACCTTTACCACAGTTTTTCAAGAGATACTTTGAGTGGAAAAGAACCCTTAGCATCATCCTCATTATTGGGTATTGGGATGGCCTCCAAAGTCGGTGGTGGTTGGACAACCGAGGAATCCACTTTATGTTTGTAAGATGACAAAGCACATAATCAGCTTGGTCTCAAGGTGTAATAAGACTAGACACCATGTACACACTTTAAAGTTTAAACAACTCATTAATCAACAGAATACCATTTTTTTCCTTACCATGGCATCCACATCATGTTTGTAAATCTTTTTAGTCCCACCCTCCAACTGAGTGCCTTCACTTTCACAGGGTAATTTCCTTTCTACATTGAAACAAAAACTATGGTGTTAGCATGAATCGCACCTATTATTGCTTTACAATCTTAGTAGTATCAGAATGAGCAACAAATAAGGCAATTACCTAATAATTCCAAAAAGTCCTTATGGAATTCTGTCATGTTCACACATGAAACTGGTCTATCATCACATGGATCATATCAGAACAAATCAAAACACGAAACCAAAAAGAAGACAGTAGAAAGAATAAGGCTTCAAAATAAATTAAAAAGAAAAGTTAAGATTGTTAAAAGCAAGAAGAAATATTATCATTTTTTTATTTCTAAATGTGATAATGCAAGAAAAATATCATAGGCAACATGGAAGAAGCAAAATTTGAAACCTTTTCAATTCAAAGTCTTTATATTCGGCAAATCCTTCACTGATAAACAAGCATGCAATTTGTGCAGCCAATCCTTTCTCGCTCAACTGTAAATCAAAAGACAATGTTTTAAGTTTAGTCAACAAAAAGACTAACTCAAACCATAAGTGCACACCGCCACAAAACCAATAGAGGAAAAAAAAAGATAGATGTTAAATCACTCCCATTAAAATAGATATTGAAAAAAAAGACAGACCTAGACATAATATTTTTAACTTACAAGCTAAAGTGCCACTAAAGAAGTGAAATAGAAGCATCGTAAAAAGCACACATTAGGTAGGTATCGACGATATAGCTCGATTTTATCACCAACCCTTTCAAAAACTTCAATCATTCGTAACATGGACATCATTGTTTCCAGCTTATTGCTCAGCTCATCATGCACCTCTTTACTAGCAGAAACTAATGTTATTTGTGAAGCCATTAGTGATACAATCTCTGATAAGACCAATTGCCGAAGGGACATACTCCCATTCAAAGCAGGATAACATAAGCTTGTGAAAAGAGACGGTGATGTAACTTCTTCTCGAGCTACAGTCAATAAGACAGCGATCTCAATAAGTTTCCCATCTTTCACGTAGCAATATATTTCTTTCTCAACCTCGTTCGTGGCCCTAAAAAGCAATCTAACGTTCTCCAGAAATTCTGTCTTGAATTGACAAAAGACAATTGTCATGTAGAGAGATTGTGTTGTAGACCAGTCATTGAAAGGAGGATTCCAGCTGCAATAAGAAACGGACATGCATATATACATTGTCGTAATCGGTTTTCGCCCGAGCACGAAATTTTTTCTTTGCGGGAAAAGTGATGTGAATAAATGGTTTGAGGAAGGATTAGCACACCCACAACGCCCAAAATTGATACTTATTAATTATAAATTGTCTCTATTATTAGATATTTAAAAATTCAAAAATATATTTAATTTATAATCCTATTATTTCAAATTTATTAATATAAGAAAATCTAGGAGTTTTAATATAATCCTGTTATATATATAAATAAGATATTTATTTATTTAGAAATATCAGAAAAGACATTCTAGGTGCTTTAAGACAGCTCTTTTCTTAATATAAAAAATATATAAATATTAAAATATGATTATTTTTCTAAGAAAATAATTTAAATAAAACAATATGTATTTTTTATAAGTAAGATATTTATTTATTTAAATTACGAGAACATGACATCTAGTTGCTTTAAGACTGCCCTTTTCTTTGATATTAAAAATAAATAAATATTATTATTTAAACAAATATATATATATATATATATTTATAAGATTGATAAAATAATAATTAAAGTAATAATTAAAATATATTAAAAGTAATAATAAAATAATATTACAAATAAATAATGAATAAAATTAAAATTATAACATAAACACACTTTAACATTAATAAAATACCATATATCAATCTTTGTAAATGAATAGAATAAATACTAAAAGAAATTTATATTTTAATAAATAGTAATATAATAAAGTCAAATAGTATTAATGTCTATTATAATTAAAATGGATGAAATGGAAAGTAAATTTAAGATACCAATTATAAATAAATGCAAAGAAAATTAAAGTAAGGAAAAAATAAATTCAAAGATACAAACATCAAGGTTATAAGTAATTAAGGAAAATGAAACATTAAAGGTGAATTAATCTTTTATGAATAGTTATTTGACAACAAATTTGGGAAAGTATTAAAAATAATTTAAATTAAAACAATTAAATCATATTCATAAATACATAAAATTCATAGTCAACGTTAAGAATTATAAAAATTAGTGATTAATTTATAAAAGATCAAAAGTAATTAACATAATTAATAATATCATAAAATATAAATATTAATACTGTAATTTAGCCATGAAAACTTAATACAGGATTAAAATAAAAATTACTAAAACTATAAGGGATTGAATAAATTATTTTACCCTAAACATTTATTAATACTAAATAGTGACTAAAATATAAATAAAACAAAATTAAAATGCACAAACACATACTGTAGTGACTAAAATGAAATTTTGAAAAACATAAAAGATTGCGGGAAGGATTTCTCAATGTTGGAAATTACACATACGCCCCTCCCCCAAAACAAAGTCATTTGGGGAGGGTATTTAAACCTTTAACTGACCCAAAATCCCTTCATCTATCTCATTTCCTCATTTCTTCTCTCTCTCTAAACGAGAGAACCAGAGTTCTCTGCCCTCTCTCTAGCTTCCCTCGCCGAAGGAAATTCTGGCAGCCAACAACCACCGTACGTCGGCTCTGATCACCGTCACCGGCCACCATTTACGGTGGCCGGAATTTAGAAAATTAACCCAAATCGAAGATCATTTTCCCCTAAAATTGAATCCTACCTTATTTCTCCCTAAAAACCACTAGACCGGCTTAAACCTAAAAAATAACCGAAGATTTTACCTTCGGTTTAACAGAGATTTTTGGTAACGTTTGGGCTCCGACGACGTTTAGTAAGTGTTCTCTCTTCTATTGGTTGGTTATTGGTTTTTATTGTTGTTGTTTGCTTGTTGTTGTCGTCTCTTCCTCTTTTCTTGCCCTCTGTCTCTCTGTATTTGCTCGCTGTGTCTTTTTTTTCATTTTGCAGGTTCAGTGGCTTTATAGCCACCACCGAGTCTCGCCTTGAACCGGTCACAAGGGATGACCCTCGGTGAGTCACCGAACTATGGTGGTGACTCACCATAGGGTAACAACGTGGATGGCGTTTTTGAGTCTTCTAGAGGCTTCAACTAGGCGTGGAAGTAGCAGCGGCGTCAACGTGGGGCGGCTGACCGTCAGCAGTAGCTGGTTGGACCATATGGCTTGGGAGTCATTAGCAGAGGCGGCGGCTGGCCTTCTGGAAGCATCAGAGGCGGCTGGGTGATGAGACCCTAGTAGAAACCTTAAATGGGTTTAGGGTTTCTGTTGGGCCAGCTGTAAATGGGCCTTGTAAATGGGCTTAGGGTCGTGGGCCTCTGATGTATTTGTAATTTTTTATTAATAATATAATAATAATAATAATAATATAATAATAATAATAATAACAAAACGAAATGAAAAAATTAGTGTTTACAACTGTCCCTCTTTGCTCATTTTTGTTTTAACAAGAATAGAGCAAAGACGAAAAAACAATAATTTTTTCATTTGGCTTCTTTTGAGTAGGATGGAAATGTTGAAAACATCATGCACTGAAGGGCTTACAGATGACCTGAAGGTTTTTGAAAACATCATGCACTGAAGGGCTTACAGATGACCCGAATGTTTTTTGAAAACATCATGCACTGTAGGACTTACAGATGACCCGAAGGTTTTTTGAAAACATCATGCACTGAAATACTTACATATGACCCGAAGGTTTTGAAAACATCATGCACTGAAGGACTTACAAATGACCCGAAGGTTTTGAAAACATCATGCACTGAAGGACTTACAGATGACCCGAAGGTTTTGAAAACATCATGCACTGAAGGACTTACAGATGTAGGAAATAGTTTACTAAGTAAGAAATTATGGAAATCGTTTTCATATTATTCAACAATTTCTTTTTCAGAAAATATTAAATGAGAAACTTTAGAAAGCTTTTTCTCATTGAAATAATTTGTTGATTGGGAACATGCCCCAAAATAAAGATAATGCTTCATTTGTGGATTGCGTCCATCTATTCTTCAGATGTTTGCCTCTCCTTATGTGATTTGAATTCTACCTTCTTCTTGTAAGGTATTTTTCATCATGAATCTTCTTGTTCATACGAAGATCTGTAAAATTTCATATTTGAATGCACTCAGATGTATCAATGTAATGCATTGTCTATTGTGTAAATGATGTTCTTATGAATGCATGAATGTTGATGCAATCTTCATTTGACTTCAAAGTGGTGAACTTGGTCTTCTTTCATTTGATCTTTTATTGCCAGTGTTACCTTTGGATATCAGTGTAGCAACCCATGCGATAAAGCTGAAGAATCATCTGATCAATATTGTATCTTCTTTGCTTGCATTAAAATCTCAAAAGAAATATTTCATTTATGGAACTCTTACCGTAATCAGAATTATGACCTTGATGCCCCATTTTTATCTTTGATAACATCGACTTTCTTTGCTTGGACTTGTGTAGAAATCCAATAAAGCTTTCATCTTTGAAAAGAGAATCTATCATCTTTGAGAAAATCTATCATCTTTGAGGAATGTAGATGTAGATATGCCTGACTCAGCAAGGATTAATTAGGAGATCAACGTCTGTTTTGATTTGACTCTTGCAACACATTATAAGGAGGATGTATCCTAATTATTTTCATATCTCCATATCAAATCTCGGACAACAACATGTCATTCAACTTTAGTTGGCTCCACTAGTTTCTTGTTGTTAAAAAATTTCAGCTTCCCTTTTGTGGAAAGAAATCTTCATCACATCTCACTTCTAACCTTGAGGTTGAAGAAGACAAACTTCATCTTGGCTTAATAAATGGAAACACCATATGATAGCAACATTGGTTCAACACCATAATCACTGGTTCGTAAAATACGTAACCATATATTCATCATTTCTTGTGGCTTCTACTCGGATTTTCATAAAGCTTTTGATAACACATTCATCCATTCCTGTGACTTCTGTACAGATGTTCATAAAGCATTTGACAACACATTCATTTTTCCTTGTGGTTTCTGCACAAATGTTTGTAAAATATTTAACAATACATTCATCTAGTTGTGGCTTTTGCACAGATTTCTGGTTAATGAAGCTCTTTGCACAGTATTCAAAGCTTTTGTATGATGTCACAAGACCACTTGAGAACAAAACTCAGTGGGAATAAAAGTGAGATGTCGGTGTGTTTCATAATAAAAATGTTTGTCAAATTCACAAAATATGCTAGTGATGAATTGAATAAGAGATACCAACTGATCTTGTTATTATCTCGGGCAAGGGTGATCACGTTTTCTTCCATAATGAGTGTTGTAGGAAAGAGAAACATGTCAATTATAGGAGCCATGTACAGAAAGATATCCATGGAATTCTTGCCGTTGGGGATGAAACACACATAATAAAACCAAAATAGATGAAAACTCAGTTCACCCTGGCTGGCAATGATAACCCCAGTAACAACGAGAATAAGAATAACACAAGTTGAACCTCTTTATTCAATGTCATCAAGTAAACAAAAACTGATATGAAAAACAGCTCGTAATCTCAACAATATGGTTGAAACTAACTGTCAGAAACCTCAAAGAAATATGTCCAATCATTACTGACACACAAAAGACCAATAGTAATGTAGCTTACAAAGAACACGTTGTCATGTGACACATGGTCAAGAAGATTGGGTATTTGAAACCATACTTGCTGAGTAGATATTTTTTTAACAATATGATCCCAATGTAACTGCCTGGTGAACGAAGCGATTATGTATAGTCATATCTACTGTCACTGCTTCACCATTTTCGTTCTTCATTCCTTTCTGTCTTATTGGAAATATTTGCTCAAAATTAATGATCTTTATGCAAGAAGATATGGGTTTTCAGCATGCTCCAGCATTTACTGATATGAACGTTCAAAATGCATCAACATTCCTGATTCTGATTGAGATGGATTTCCATTATGCCTCAACATTTGCTTCTTGTTGATATGAGTTTTCAAAATGTCCT